AGAAAAAAAACCGAGTGACATATTAATAAAAGATAATAATTCAGAATCAATCAAGTCACAGGAACATAGCAACCTTCTAAATCTGTTCATGGCTAATAGAAACCAAAACGAAAACATAAGATATATTTTGCTATTAAGTCAAAAATATAAAAAATCTAAATAGTCTGATGTTTATTGCATGACGTGAACTGCTGTATGACAATGAACTTGATGCCTTGCCATTTATGTAATCAATGACACCTTCTTGTTCTTTAGAAGCTTTGTATCAAAGTCTTAAAAAAAAACATTGAAAACTGCACAAAATTTTTTTAACCCCAGAAACCCAGAAAATAAAAAAAATTAATAAATTGTCAAAGGCAATTAAAAAATCGTGTGAAAACACATAGTTTAAAATATCACTTCTAAATCACTAACCAAAAAAGTAATATGTGTTCTACTTAAATTGAAGAGTGAATCCATAAATTGAAATAACAAATTAATTACAAAAACCTTGCCAGAAATAAAAACCAAACTGTAACTTTTGAAGAGTTAGAAAATTCAAATTCAATGACCTAACTATGAAAAAGGTGTAGGAAATTACAGACCACATACAGCGAGCATAAACAAAGTCCAAATGCGGTCCTTGCATTGAAGGGAATAAAAACGAAGTTCCAAATCTGGTCCTTGGATTGAAAAAAAAAATTTCCAAAAACATTGTGGAAAAGTGTAAACATCTGCACTGCTTGATAAAGTGATAAGTAATAGATTGATAACCATATATATGAGTAAAAATGTAGAGTATCTTCGATAGCGATAATCTGATAAAAATAATCTAATATTTGAATTGATATTTCGAACTTTGAGTTGAAGATGAGAGAGAGTTGAAAACATAATTCAAAATTATTTATACTAATCCCCTGGAAATTTAGGTTTGACGATTAGGGTGAAGGGAAAAAAAGTGAGAAAATGAAAGAGATAATTATGGAAGGATTATCTAGAATTGTAAAGTTAAGAGAAAAAAGAGAGATAGAATAGCGTAGGTTATTAGGGGGTTAACTCATAGAGTGCGTTGCACATACTTGCTATGTCGATAAGTCACGTAGGAAAGAGATAAACTAAAAGGATAAGGATGAGAATAAGACTTTATTATATATATATATATATATATATATATATATATATATATGATTTATTAAGAATCCTATTAGGAAACTACTTGACTCTCGTTAAACCACGTAGGAAAGAGAAAACATGAAAGGATAAGAATGAGAATACGACTTTATTATATATATATATATATGATTGGTCAAATTCTTTTAGATAATCGTATGTAAAGATAATGGAAGTACATGAGTAGGTTATGTCGGAATTGGAAGTTAATACAAAAAAGTGGATAATCTCAATAAATAACCACCATTGATTCAAATGGTTCTCTACTAATTATGGGAAATTATTTTTAATAAACCTAAACAAATTTGTCCTTGTCATTAAAGATATATTAGAAATTTTAAAAAGTAACATTATGTATTAACACCACATAATGATGCTCTCACTTTTATTGTATTGTGTGAATATTCAAGTTAAATAAGAAGAATCCCTAAGACCCAAGTAAGTTGGTAGAGAAATTAGTCATTATGTAATCACTAGTTTGACTCTCAAACTTTTTTTTTCCCCTTCCCCCTTGTAATTTCTAGAATCTTTCTTATAGCCAAAAAAAAAAAAAAATGAATGAACAATAAAAGAATTCCCAAATTTTGTTTTTTACATAGTTTGTTATAGCCTTGAAGAGCAGGTACCAGAATATCTCTTTTACTCATGTTAAGAGATTTAGAAATAAACTGTATGTGTTTGGATAGTCATTATTTGCACAAAAGTTATTTGTTTGCATCATAAACATAATTTTCAAGTCACATTTTTTTTTTATTTTTCCAATAATCTTTCTATTTCACATAAAATTGCTACAATAATTATTCCAAATAAGATCTTAAATAAACTTAGATCTATCAAAATTTGTGTATTAAACTTTGTCATGATGTTAGGTGGAAAGAATCCTTTCCCTTATCATTGCTTGATGCAACTCAATCAGGACTTAGGGCAGTTGCCCAACTTATGTAAATCATAATGTTATGAATGATATAAAATGTTGCCGTTTTGCTAAAAAAAAAAAGGAAAAAATTCACTTTCTGACGTTACACACATCACATAACAGAAGGTATTATAATAATTCTTTCTGAAAATTGATATTCTCACTCCCTATTTAGTCTCTTGCACTCCAATTTACTCACTAAAAATATAACCTCCAAAGAGTGCTAGAGGTTAATTGGACGGTGCAAAATCATTTTTCTCTTTTGTTTTTGTTTTTTTTTTTTAAAGGAAAATTCAAAAACTCTTCAGAAAAGAAAATATAATCCAAACAATCTCTAAATCAGTAGTGAATTAGATCAAACATTCAAAAGCTAGCCTCCAGGGGACCAAATGCGCGAAGCAAGATCGAAAGGGAACCACTTTCCGTTGAAACTAGTCCACAGTACGAGAGGTTGAAATTGTGTCTGCGTCTGTGTTTTTCTTTCCATCTCTGTCCCCAGACCAGCTGTGAACTACAGCGTCAGGCATTCAAAAGAAGATAGGGAATCAAATGAGGCGGTGACATGGGCCGTACATTTCCAACGTCTCTTCAACCTTTCACATTCGGCCCATTCCGCAATCTTGGCTTCCTTCTTGGTAGCTCATGCGCCACAATTTTCTTCGTCGTCGTCGTCTTCGTCTCCCTCTTACTCCGGCATATCAGACAATTCTTTCGTGATTTTCTTTCTTAAATTTTTAAACAAATATAACTACATAAGTATATATTCTTTGTCTAATAAGTACGCACGTATGTACCATGTACATATGAATCTTTGGCCAGTGTATAATGTGAATATGCTTTTGGTATAGAGATTTTTACCTCTTTGCTAAATTTGTTTTGGAGTTAGAATTTGGCCAGTAATGCCATGATAGCATTCAGTGAGTGTTGGATCAATTGAAAAAAGCAAGCTAGTGGTAAATGCGGGAGAAGCCTAACACTCTATGGAGTGTGCTACTGTATAAGGGGGTGCGCGTGTCTCTCTCGATAGATAGAATATAGATAGACAGCTATCGAGAGAGAGAAGAGAGAAGCCTAACCCTCTATAGAGGGACGGGTACGTAACTGAAATGTTGCACTTTAGACCTTTTTTCCTTATCTTAATGAAGGTTGTGTTTGGATTGCATTTTCCGTCATTTTTCATGGAAAAATTACTGTAGCGATATATATATGAGAGAAAAAGGTGATAGGAAAATGTGATCACGGAAAACGATATATTTTCCGACGGAAACAAGCAATCCAAACAAGACATAGCTTTTGTTGAGAAATGCTTAGGTGTGGGCTCTTAGACTAGGGCCGAGGGAAAGTAGAAGCATTAAATTCATTTCAATATACAAATAGGGAAGTTATATTAAAATTATTGATATTTTAAAATTTTTTTTTTTTTGTAAGTGAAAGATTTTGAACAAAAAAACTTCTTACTTTTAATTTATTTCTCATTTTCACCTGATCCAACCCTCTCCATTGATATATTTGACCTTGGTTTGCTCTTTAGCAGCATCGTAACTCTAGATCATTGAAGGGCTTACAAAGTTAATTACTATTATTTACTTTTCAGAGGGCATCAAATAAAAAAAGGAAAAAAAAAAAACAGCTACGATGAGTGTCAGGACAGTCCAAAAGTATCAATTTATTAGAACGGTCAATGAATGAGCATTTTTCTAGATGATTTGGAGACGAAATAATTAGCGAACCAAACCAGGGAATTCCCATCAACTTATCGTGAGAGCTTAATAGTAGTAGTATGTCATATGACAAAATGGCACGACACTTGACTTGAGCAGTGAAGTGTTACTCTAATGGCAAATTTATAGTTAAAGCCAGAGCGTTTGATGATCAAACCGCATCAACTGAACTGTTGATCTCACTAAAAATTCAAAGGCAAAAGGAGTAATGGTCAAACACGTATTTTGGAACCAAACCCCCGACTCCGACTGATGACTATTGTTCTCTTGTCTTGTCGGAGCAACAACATGGAAAACAATCGTTCATCAACTTTATTTTAGCAAGAGAGGTGTAGGATTTAAAAAATTGGAAGGGGAACAAGGAAAGTTTAAATCTAAAACTTTAAATTCTAGGATTTCAATATTAACAATTAATACACTAGTCTCTTTTAAATTTTTTTTTTTAGTAAGTAAGAGGTATTAAATTCAGCACATTCTACTTAAACCTATAAAGTTATAAGTCAAGTAGAACTACTTAATCCAAGTAAGAGGTATTAAATTCAGCGCAGTTTACTTAATCTTACTTGATTGTACAATAAAGTTACAAGTCAAGTAGAACTATGCATGCACAAATTATCGGAGTTATTTGGTCAATTTGGATTGTAGTTGTCTGTAGAAATTTTTTTACATTTTTATTGAACATATTTTCACTCATTTTTCTTTTACCTTACATATATTGAATTATTATAATACATTTTTTAACAAAAATTTTTAAAAATAGCAATCCAAACGGATAGATGTAAATTATATTTTAAAGAAAATTCAAGAGAGGTCTCAATTTAATTACTATTCATTGGACTAATACACAATACACGGCAGTATAACATTAACAAAATAAGCTGGTTCTGCTTGAACTAACTATCTCTAAAATAATCAACTCGGTAATTTCAATCAGATGCTTCATCTCCAACGAGTAGTAGGTCATGGGATGACAAAGGCTACGTATACGTGTTTTTTTTTTTTTTTTTTTTATCCCAAGCCCACAAATTTTACAAGGCTAGTCACTCTTGTACGAGTCATCAGTTCGTGGAAGATGTGGATTTAGTAGAAATTAAGGGAAAAAAAAAACATGTTGCAAGTGGCACGTAAGGAAATGTCGCCAAACCCAAACCCAAACCCAGTTTTACCACCGAACCCGTATATAAACATTTGGACAATTTTCGTAACCAGAAGTTTGGTGGGGTGTTTCTCTCTGCTCTCTTCTCCATTTCTTGGAACCTTCATTTCCCTTCTTCTCCTTTTGTATCTATTAGCGTGCGCAAATTTTTATAGACATATATATATATATATTTATATTCTGTGCGAAGGTTGGAACATTGGAGAGAATATCTAGTTTAAGGATTCAGAACCGTAAGAACTTTTTATTTTTTCCAAGAAAAACTTTCCTTTTTTCCTTAAAGAAAGAAAAGAAGAAAAAAGAGAATGGACTCTGATTCATGGATTCGAATTGCCCCTTCTTCTCGACGATTCCAATCACGATCAGGTTTGTCTTAATTAAATTACTCCTTTTTCTACTCATTTCCCGTGTTCTTTTTTACCTGGAAATTGCATGGAAATTAAGACTTGCTGACTTTGTTTATTGATTCGTCAATCCTTTTTTTTTTGGGTGTAAGGAAAAATGTTTAGAAGGTTGAGAAGTTAGATGAAGTAGAAAATGTGACCTTATGATGTTTTTTGGTTCGGACATGAAGCAAGTTGAAAGTAAAGTTTCAAGCTTTTTTACTTTGTTCTGAAATTATTGTTCTTTTTTCTTTTCTTGTGCTCTTTATACTCTAATTGTGTACTTGACCGGTTTTGGCATTAGAGAATTGGTACTTGGGTTTCCATTTATCTTTTTATATCATGATATATGCAGACCGGCTTGTTATTCTGGGTCTTTTTCCTTTTTTAAGTAAAGTATTAAATTTCAGTGGAAATCATAACTTGGGTCTTTATTTGTTGGTGGTTTATTGGAGAAATAAGTTTAGTTTTCATTTTTTTTCAGTTGCTTGTTGCACATGTTTCTACTGTTATGTTTTTGTTGGGACTGGAAATGGTTGTGACTTGTAATGATTATGTAGATGTATACAATGTAGGAGAAGAGTATTATCAGGGTGGGGAAGAGGAGTTGCGACCAGAATTTTTGTGCCCTTTCTGCGCTGAGGATTTTGACATTGTTGGCCTCTGTTGTCACATTGATGAAGAGCATGCCGTTGAAGCCAAGAATGGGGTAGGTTCTGTTTCTTCATTTTATTGTTTTGACCCAGGTGTACAGTTTAATTCAGTTACGACGTATTACCTTTATGAAATTTGCAAAATGAAAGGTTTTTTGGTATTGGCCGATGGTAAGTTCACTAGCTGTAATTTCATGGTTCAGTGCGCAATTGGCCTCTGACGATTTGTGTACCAAGTTATTACTTTTTTTTTTTCTTTCTTTGGTGGCAAATAACAATGCTGCTTAAGAAGTTATCATTCAGTTTAGGGGATACTTGTTGTTATTGAGCATTCAAATGGGCCATTAAGAGCATGAAGAGTCCTTCCTTTAAACAAATAATTATCTTTCCATGGAAAAGTAAATCATGATCTCAAATGTCTGAATGATGTTAATTAGTGGTGAGGCTTGGAAAATATTTGTCATTGAATATTTCAAAATGAGTATAATATGATGATCTAGGTGACAGTCCAGTGGACTGAAGTGATGGCCTTGCTTGATTGCTTTCATTATTTATACTTAAAAAGAAGTGCTAGGATGTGGTGTGTCTTACTGATTCAGTAGCAAATTCACTTGATTGAAGGTCTTATGTGTTGCTTGCATCTGTTAATTTATCTTAGTTGTGTGTTGATCTACTTATATTGGAATAATATTTCAAATGCAGGTTTGCCCTGTCTGTGCAAAAAGAGTGGGGATTGATCTAATCGATCATGTTACCATACAACATGGAAATCTTCTAAAAATATCCTTTTCATTCTGCTATTTAATCTAATATTACTTGCAGTCTTTTAGCGCGCGCACACACACTCTCTCTCTCGATCTCGCTTGCACTTGCACTCTGTGTGTGTGTGTGTGTCTGTACGTGTGTGTGTGAATTTGTGCTGCATGTGTCTTTCTGTGTCTTTGTCTACCCTATGTCTAGAGACATATTCAAATGAATTTCTGTGTTGGGGAGGCTTGATAGTTTAGAAGGAATGTGAAGAATAGGACTAGTGCATTGGGTATGTATTTGGGATTCTTGGCCCTTTGCTTCTTCTTGACTGGTCATTACGTGCAACGCAAGAGGAGATACCGCAGAGGTGGATCTGGTACACCATTATCGATTTTAAAAAGGGAGTTGAGGGAAGGAAACTTTCAATCCCTCCTTGGTGGTTCCTCAAGCTTTATCCCTTCCTCTACTTCTCAACCTGATTCACTGCTATCTTCATTTATATGTAATCCACCAGCAGCTGATGAACCACTGACAGTTCAACCCTTCTCCTCAAGTGAAGCTCGCACCCAGTGGAATGGCTCTGCTGAGGACTTGTCTGAGAGGTATGAGCTCATGTATCAAAACATAATCATTAGTTACCGTTTTCTTGGACTTACGGTTCGATGTTTTTCTAATGATGAGAGCAAATGATTGGCAATGATGCATTAAGAACTCAAGTACTCAAGTATATCATGAAAGTGTCATGTCAATCGGATGATTACTTGAGCCTTCTTTTGTTACTTCAGCAGTAGCCTAATCATTTGTGGCTTTATTGTTCTTCATTTAGTTTTACTTTTAGAAACTTTTGCAGTTGAATTCTATGATTCTGCGTGAAGTCAATTACTGATCATTCACTATGTGCCGTAATTACATCCAAACTATAGTTACAATTTGGAGGGAGAATGATCCTGACGCCAAATATACAATACTTGATTTCTACAAAATCTAACCAACCTGTAATTTGTTCTTCTAAAAATGGTGGAAAAAGATTGTGACATTTATTTGAATGTTTATGATTGAAGCAATGAAGTTACAATCTACAATTCAACATGGTACAGAATGGTGGATGTTGATCAAGTCCTGGTACTTGTCTGAAAGAAAATATTTCTTCTTACATACGAAACAAGTAATGTCATTTTACTGTGAAGTGCTGCATTCAGTGCCCAATCAGTTTGTCATAGTAAGAAATTGGAATGTGAAAAGAATTGAGATTTAAAAAAAAAACACACTTGAAATCATGGACTTAGGGCGGCAGAAGGACCAAGGTTGGAAAATCTTGAAATTTATTTATATGGTGATGGATGTATTCTGTACTTCAATGTGACACTTGATTGGGCTTTGGCTTTCTTGGGTACTTGTTTGTAACACAACAGTTCTAGTTTCTTTGATATCATAACCAAGATTGTATTGCTTTTCCAGTTTCATCTCTCAGTACCAGGCAGTAGAAGAATTGCCATATGCAAAGTTTTTTATTTAATTCCGTAATACTTGTTAATGCATTTTACGATAGTGTTACTAAAAATCAAATTTTATGGTGGCAGGAGTGCACAGCCATCTCGGCTGTCAGAGAAGGACCAGGAAGAGAGGGGCCGGAAATGTGAATTTGTTCAGGGCCTCCTTCTATCAACTTTTGTCGATGATGATTTATAAGTATGCAGCAGCTGTGCTCATTATGTGCTAGGAATTGGAGTTCTAGGTGGAGAGTGTGGCCAAGAGAACATGCCACATTGTGTAATGGTTAAAAGGGTCTGTGGTTCATTGTTGTAGAGGTTATTATGTATTGTACATAAATATAGAGGAAACGGTGAAGAAGTGGCTTTTAGTTGATATGTGCTGTGCGGTCGGTCCTGTACAGGGCCTTTTGATCTTTTTCTTCGGTGTGTGTAAAATGATGATGTGCCCCAAATACACGGTTGCAACGAGGTAGACCTGGACCTCAAGCTAACAGCTTTGAGGATGAGGAGCAGATCCTTCATCCTCGGCTCCCAAATAGCCACCAATTAGAATGCTCTGATAATTTTTCTGCGAATCTAGGAACATTGCTTGCATTTGACCCTCGAAAAACAGGAGAAAAAAAGAGTAACAAATTATTGCATTGCTGGTTTAGTGAAGCCTGCATCAAGGCTGAAAGGGCCTAGTTGGGTTCCTTTTTGTCAGCTTTTCGATCGTTTGGCCTTCCTTACAGTAGTAACACATGCGACCGGTAGGTGGGACGTGGGAGAGGACAATTGTGTTCTTCAAAACCATCATCTTTTCCTTGGAAAAAGATTTGGAAACTTAAAATCCAGGCTTGATTCGAGCAACAACAATCTTTTATCTATCACTTCCGTACCATGGATGCCAAAAGAAAAAAAAAAAAATCCATCCGGTTCGCACATTCCCCGTGACGTACAAGACATTGAGGCGACAAGAAGAACGAAGATGGATCAGTTCAACATTGTAAACAAGAAAATCAGCACGCACCAATTCCTAAAGTTGGTAGTAACTACTAACTGGCAACATTAGAATCATCGAATGTTACAAGCCAGGTCTATACAAGTCCTACAAGCTATTCGTCATCGTCAGAAAACCTAATTGGCAAAAGCTTAGCAGTAGTATTTTATGTTTTGGAGTCAAGAATAGGTGAAAATGTGGTACAAGTCAAGAAAGATTCAGCTGACAGGATTTGCTTGCGTGTCCTAAAATTGAGTACTTTCAGTCAGGAATTGTCTGAAGAAGTTTTCAATTTCATTGCATGCCTTGAAGAAAGATGTTGCAGTAACTTTCATGTCCCCCAAGTGAAAATGACAAAATGACTTTTCTGGGTAATGGTTGAGATGTTTAGGTGTGTGAAATTTCTTTAATTTGTGCTGCTGCTGAGTTTTGATAAGAGCAATGGTGGGGTGCCCAAACCTAATGCAGAAGTAATAAATACCGAAGGTGTCAATTGTGTGGAGCTTATCACATCCATGGTCTGAGCCTGAACTGGACATACTTGTCTTTAACAGAAGAAGACAGAAACAAAAGCAAAGTTTCTATCGTGTTAATAACTAAAATGCTTAATATATATACTACGTAGGAATCCTTCAAAACTGATATCATATTGAACTTAGATCATAGAACAAGGGCTTGCTTGGTCAACCCGCGGCCTGAATGTCACCACTTTTAACTTTGGTTGTGAAAGACAGGAATCACAGAGCAGAACAAGTCACTGCAGATGAGCAAGTAGTTCATAAGACATGATGGATAATCCTTAATTGCATAAAATCCTTGAGGGAGATGGTGGGGCTGGAACCATCAAGCTGATCACCACTTTTGGAGAAGGCTAGTAGTCTTACACTTAATTTTCTTTGTATAGAACTCGTCAATCAAATAGGAAATTAAATCGACTGATCCTAACACTGCAGGTAGCCAGTTCACGAGCGTGAAGCACAGAGTCGACAAGCTTGACACAGAAAGTTTCACTTGCAAGTACAGCAGCACAGTGGAAGGTGATGCTTTGATGGGCGTGCTTGAATCAATCTCTTATGTGATCAAGATTGAGGAATCTCCAGAGGGAGGATCCGTTTGCCAAACCTCCAGCACTTACTACACGAAAGGTGATATCCAGATGACAGAAGAACAAATAAAGAGTGGCAAAGAGAAGGCATTGGCAATGTTCAAAGCAGTTGAAGCTTACCTGCTGGCTAATCCTGATGCTTACGACTGAAGCAATATTTGCTACCGCAGTCTTCTGAGCACAAGTAACTAAACGTACAGCTTTGTTCTGTCTGATTTCTTTAGTGTCATTAGACTTTATTTGGCTCAAAATTAATTAGCGGGATTATTACATGTCCTTTTGAGGGCATTTCGAAGTTTTCATTTCCAAATTCCATAACCTCAACATCTACCTTCAGATGATTCCATTTTACTATATATAATTCCTATCATCTCATTGTTTTATTACTCTACACTGTAATCCAGTGTGCAATACAGACTTGCTCCTGAAATCTCTTCTCGCACTGTACTGAAATTCCTCCTGAATTCCACTTGTCATGAGTGATTAATCTGAGAAAGTCCACGACAAAGCAAAAGGCAGAGAAGGACATTCCACAAATCAATTAGATTGATGACTCACGCCTCGTGAGTGATGAATTGCCCAGACATGATAGAACCAAACGTAAAGTACTTAGACACAGCTTCTTTTGAACTTTGCAGTTAAATCTATCTAATTACGGTTAGAAACTTTATCTTGATCTCTTTGCTAGTTACTCAAAACTGAACAATAGTGGACGAAGAAAAAGGCGGCAGTTTTCATATATTATCAAGTTCGTGAAACATTGAAAACTAGCCTGCATGGGAAAGAAAATAAATTTTACCAGCTGGATTGGTACAACAGATATTTCTAGTTTGCGTTTAGTGTTTTCTGCTATAATTGTATAACTTCAAACTTTTGATGTCTACTCATCATGCATTAAGGATATCGTCGTTTTAATCTAAAATGAGTAGTTGTAACCAACACACACGCATGCGCACGCATACGTGCATGTATATATATTTACATATATGGTACGTAGTTGACTGATTACTCAAAAAGAGCCAAAAAAAAAAAAATAAATACAACAAATAGAATTATCATCAACATGCTGAAACCTTGATTGGAAAGGATGTTTTCTACATAAATTGACGGGTTGCATGACTCAAAATCAGATGGAATTGAAATTCTTTTGAACATGACTGTAGCTGGTCAAGTGCGTGAGAAACTTCGCAACGATGAAAATCCATAGTGACCGACCTTATAAATTCAAACTCATACTTGTAATTTTTACAGCATTCAAATATTGGTATGAATTTTTATTAAAAAATTATAAAAATTACACGAACTAATTTGAACAGGATAGAGTTCAACTTGTGAGGCTACGATGATGGTACCGGCAAATGACCAAGTAGGCTTCTCTATTTCTGAAGCAAATAATAGTCGTATGGCGGGGTTGGCCTACGATGTTGGCAGTCAACAACTCAACATTGACATGCACGATAAATATACTTTCCTGGTAAATATATATATAATTAGTTATTTTCATGTACTTTTTTTTCCAAATTTTCCAGTTTAGGCCCTGCTATTTATTAGAAGATAATGCTCGAGATCATCCTAACAAAAGAAGAAAAAAAATATATATATATATATTTTTTTAAGAAAAGAAAGATATCTTGGAGACACAGCTTGATGCTGTAAAGTAGTATATTCCATTAGAGAATTCTCATCTTTTACAAAAAATGCTAGTTCGATTTTCACCTCTTCTTCGTTCTAATTTTTCCCCCTAATGGCAATATACATAGCAAATAGCAAACCTTTTTTCCCCAATATCTAGAAGATGGCCCCTGCCTCCAGCCTCTCATTTTGTATATTTTTCCTCCTTTTATTTTTAAGGGTCAGAAATTTGGGCTGCTACATGATATGATGGACTGTACAGTTTACAATGGCTTTTTCCCTCGAGTCAACAAAGTCTTGCGGCACCATTTCCTGGAAATGTCCCATACTTCCTGGAAGAGCTTTCATTATTAAGTCAGAAAAATGGGACGGCATTATCAAGCAGAAGAGTATGATGTCGTAAAAATAATTTGGGAAAATTAAATTTTGAAAAAAAAGGAATACGAATATTAACAATCTAATAGTAGGTTGTAAATAACTCACGAATTAAATTAAAGCAACTAATAATTTTATTGCAAAATGACTAAATTACCCTTATGCGCACGTGCAAGTGTGCACATACAATACAAGTGCCCTTAATGCGCGCATAAGGGTTAATTTGTAATTTAGATTGCAACAAAATTTTTTATAATTTATGAATAATAACCCTGACCTTGTGTACAAATTTCCTAAAACTTATACCTATTTATGAATTTTCACTCTTCTTATTCTCTCTCTTTCCAAAATTTGCAATGAAATTAAAGGAAAATAATTGGCTCAATTATACCAACACTGTAGCAAAAATATTGGAGTATAATCTTTTGACTTTTTGCGTATGAACTGGGAAGGAAGACCTTGACCCCCAGAAACTGCACGACACGTACATATTTTAAATTTTAATGCCCGTTTTCAGTCATGAGATGAGGAGCCCTGGATTTTTCGCTCCATAAATACTGCCCCAAACTCCTCAAACTATCGTGCACCCACCAGCCAGCCAACCAACCAAGATAGACATCTTCCCACTCAACAGTAGCTAGCTTCATTCGCTGTCTTCTCTTTCGAGTGTTTTCTGGGTCATTTTTCCTTTCAACTTCTCGCAGGTATCATGGGTGTCATCACTTACGATCACGAGGTCACCTCCTCAGTCCCAGCAGCAAAGCTCTTCAAGGCTTTCATCCTTGATTTTGACAACCTCATCCCCAAGATCTTGCCTCAGGCCATCAAGAGCGTCGAAACCCTCCAAGGTGATGGTGGAGCTGGAACCATCAAGCTCACCCATTTTGGTGAAGGTCAGCACGTAGTACCTCCTACTCTACCCATCATGATCATCATCACCATCATCATGCAACATATGCATGCGTGCACAAGTACTCTTTTATTTCAATTGAACTACATATATATTATTCATAATAAAACAAAACAGGCAGCCAATACAAGAGCATGAAGCACCGCGTTGATGAGCTCGACAAGGAGAATTTCGGGTTCAAATACACCGTGTTCGAGGGAGATGTTTTGGGGGATGTGATTGAGAAAATCTCTTACGAGGTTAAAATCGAAGCCTCTGCTGACGGTGGATCCATTACCAAGAGCAAGAGCACCTACTACACCAAGGATGATGCCAAGATCACCGAAGAGGAAATCAAGTCTGGCAAAGACAAGTCCGCTGGAGTCTTCAAGGCTATTGAGGCTCACCTCGCTGCCAACCCTGATGCCTACTAATCAATTCCACTCTTCTTCATCAATTTTGAATTTTCTGCAGAAGCAAGAATAAATCTTTTAGCGTGTGCCTGGTTTCAAACTCCAAAGTGTGGGTTTTTTTTTTCCTTTACTTTAATTTTTGGGTTTTTTTTTTTTTACACCCAAGGCAAGGCTATTAATTAAGTACTAGATCATTGCCTTCATAATAAATGCTACTGAAGCTTTGGGTGGTATAAAAATGATGATGTTGATTATGTTGCACGGTTTGGATTGAAGAGATGGTATATATGTATTTGTAAAGAATACACGTAAAGAAGCAAATACTACTATATCATATAGTTTTCACTACCACGTTGAAATATATTTTGTATAATCAGTTGAAAAGTTTCTTTGCTGTTTTAGTCTTTGTTGGTGTCAAAGAACTAGATTGAGTTACCCGTCTAACTATCTAAGCATCCATCGTACAATTAGTTCAAGTCCAACAATTAATTTCAATTACTCAAAGCCAACCTAATTCCAAAAGCGGTTTGCCAACTAACTACTGTATCAACAGAAAAAAAATGACTGCTTTTGCTCACTGCTAATTGGATATATAATCAAGAGATAAATAGAAAATGAAGATCGACTGTTTAACTTTGAATGGGTCAACTTTTGCACTGATTGGAGACTGGAGGGCAATTAGACTAGTACTCTTTGCTTTCTTTAAAGTCCAGAAAATTAACGTTCTGGATTACATGTATGTAAAGAATCAAGCTAGTGATAACGAAACTTGATCTTGCAAGAAACACTGGTAGTTTTCAAGAATCAAAGTTGTCTAAATAGTTTTGCCAGATGCATTTGCCAAGTATATGCTGGGGCCTATTTTGGAAATTAATAACAGGATGTCTATTGCAACAACCAGACTTTTCGGCCATTTAAAATGCTACTCTCTGCTCCTCTTGCCCTTCACCCACTTTTGACAGCGAAATCAAAACTTAGAATCAACTTCGAAATTAGTTTTTCTGTGGTATATAACCTCATCCCAATACAAGTTTAGTTAAAGCTTCATACCTTGAATCAGGATATAATTCATTAGGGGTTTGAGGGATGGAAGAAATTGAATGAAACATCAGCCTGTAGAACTCTTGGAGGATAATATGCAAACTTTCCATAGCTCAATTTTAAAGTTTTATAGGATTACTAAGTTGCAACATTGTTAAAATAGTATCTAGACAGTAGTTATGTTGGCAGCTGTGGTGATGGATCAGCAATACTTCCAGTTGCTAGTAACGAGTTTATAACTATAAAAAGCCGAGCATTTAATACAAGAAGAAGAAGAAGAAGGAAACAGGCCCTTCAAGTTCAAAACTTGATATGGCAGCAGGATACTATGGTCTAGCATTGCTCACATGACATGTAATTGCCAAAAAAAAAAAGGTACAAAATCTATTTTTAAAAGAAAAAATGTGGGAATTACAGATTTGTTATGCATATGTGGTTCTAAATGGCATATATTGAATAGCTGAATTTGTTGCAATAAAAGTTGTTAGTTCTATCCCACCTCAATAGGCTAACAACAGGAGTAATGGGCTTGTAACTTCCTCATTTAAATTCCTCACTAGTTTTTACCATCTAATAATTGATAATCTTTAATGTTATCAAACAATGGTGAAGTGCGTGAATGATGAAGCCATGTTTCAGTCTATAAATAGAATCGCATCTCTCACATTCTCTTCACACCCCAAAATTGTCATCCCATTCTAGTAGTTCAGCATCTTTAAAACTTCCTAGGAGATCAATCATGGGTGCTGTTACCTTCACTGAAGAGTTCACCAGCACCATCCCGGCCTCCAGATTGTTCAAGGCCTTGATCCTTGATTCTGACAATCTCATCCCCAAGATTGCTCCCCAAGCTGTAAAGAATGTTGAGCTAATCGAAGGCGATGGAGGCCCTGGAAGCATCAAGAAAATGAACTTTGGAGAAGGCAAGACCATTAATTCTACTCTTGACATGGTTCATTAACAATACTTACCAATGTGTAGATTAAGATGGATTGTGCTTTGGATATTTTTTTTTTTTTGGGTAACATATGCAGGTAGCCAGTTCAAGTATGTGAAGCATAGGATTGATGCAGTAGACAAGGAGAATTTGACCTATGCTTATACCCTGATTGATGGCGATGCTTTGATGGACAAGCTTGATTCAATTTCTTATGAAATGAAGTTTGAGCCTTCTCCTGATGGGGGTTGCAAAGGCAAGAATGTTAGCACATACCATACAAAACCAGGCGTGGAGATCAAAGAAGAGGAGATCAAGGATGGCAAGGAAAAGGCTGCAGGTGTCTTCAAACTTGTGGAAGGCTACCTTTTGGCAAACCCTGAGGCCTATGCATAATTTACCTAATTATGCATGTTTATTTGTTCTAATTTATCATTCTGGATGGATAATGAGTGTTTGTATGCCAATAATCTTGTGAGCTTCTAATAATGCTCTTGGGCATTATTAGAATTAGAAGAGTCTGTGTTGATCTCTATATTAATCCTTTTCCCTTTTAAGTATGTTGCGGAAATGCTGGTTCCTGAAAAGATCAGATTATTCATATTGATCAATTTCTGGATGGAACCTAAAGTCTCTTTTCCTAAACCTATGTTTAGTTTGTAATTCATGAATGCATAGTTTCAGTTGAGGGAAGATTAAAAAGGACAAACTTAAGAAGATATAGTAATTTGGGTTCAGAATCAGATGGTACTTAATTTTCACAACCAGGATATATGCTTCGGCAGTGTTTGTATGGCAAAGATCACCATTTACAGCCTGAAAATGACACAGCCGTGTTATTTGGATTCAAGTGAACAAAGTGTCAATTGGGAAGTTCGGCTTGGTCTCGTAGAAGTACTCCACCATCGGTTACTACTTCAGTTTTCTGGTGCTTTAAGTAATAATAAAGCCAACCCTAGTTCTCACTTCATTTTTTCCCTAAAAAATGAACCTATACACCTAAAAAAAAAAAAAAGGAACCTGTAAGTAAGCAATTGATTCGGTTTTATTGGGGAGCATCCAAAATGGTACAATTTGGACTGATTTAATTCAGGGTATCAATACTTTACTACAACAGATTGAATGATCTAGTAGTATGCAGACACAAGATTTGTGGAGGTTAACCTTCTGGTTGAGAATTTGCTGATTCTCAACCAGAGTACTGGTAAGGGAATGCAACATTATAGAAGTGTAAGCTGAGAGTCTTTAGTGCATGCCATGGTTCTACTTCTCCTATTTTCCTCCTCAAAAACAGTCAGGCAGGGTGTAACCTCCAAGAACAGGACAGAGTTGTCATTTAGATTCTCTAGGAAGGTTCAACAGGATGGCGACAAAATAGAGAAACGAGAATCTAGTTAAGGATAGAGTAGTAAAAGTTAAATTGCACCTGTAGGATTAATTATTGGATAGAGAATGCCATTAATTTTGCAACAGCTCTTCTTTGGATTCGAATTTATCAGGTAAATTGAAGCCTCTAGCTGTTTGGAACCAAGTAGATTCAGCATTTTCGTGCTTCTTTCTGAAGTGGTTTTCAAGATTGATTCATCTCGCCTTGAGGTGATCACATTTGTTACACAATGGCAATCCCTTTGGAAGCTTATCCTATCTAAACTGGCAGGCATAACTGACAAGAATTTGGATGTGTCTGCCTATAATTTGGTTAAGATGCCAACCAAAGCATTCTTCCTCTGAACTTGTGAATAGTGTGCCTTCTCCCTGAAGCATTTCCCCATCCAACAAAACAGTTTATTCTTTCTGATTTCTCTGTAGCTTTACTCGAGCCTTCAGGACATGGGGATCATCACTGTGTCTGATGAATTTACTTCTGTAATCCCTCGTGAAAGAATATTCAAGTCCTTGATTTTTGATGCAGACAATTTGGTGCCTAAACTCCTGCCACAGATCATCAAGAGCATTGACATTGCTGAAGGCGATGGCGGGGCAGGAACCATCAAGCAAATGAACTTTGCTGAAGGTAGATTCTTAGGGGTCTCAGGGGTTTCCCGCCTTTCGTAGTTATCGGCTCTATATATAGTATAGATGTCCACCGTATCCGGTCCTTCCGCTTATAATTCCTCCAGAGTTATCAATTCTTCGCCTGCTTTAACTTTTCCCTGTTTTTTTCGAGATCTCTTGGTTTCTTGCCGCTACTTTCCGGTAAAAGAAATTTTCTTCCCCTTGATTTTGATCGGAATTAATTTGCTTTTACTGGCTTGATTGTTTTGTCATGGAGTGAAGAAGGCGTGTCCAAGATTACAAAGAAGGCGCGGTCAATCAGCCTGAAGAAGACAAAGGCGTGGTTTCGAAACCACGCCTTTCCTCTGGTTTAACAGAATTATACTTCTGTTATGCGCAAGTGGAGCTGATAATTCTAGAACTCCACGTGTCATAACCTTATTAGTCTGTTTAGAAGTTAGTTAGTCCAGAATTGTCCATAAAAGCATGAAGGAATCCGGATGATAGGAGATTTTGTCATAATTCTCCAAGTGATTGTAAAGGTGATTTGGCTTTGCCAAATTCCCTCCATTTTCTCTTTTTCCTTCATTCTTTCCCCTTCATTCTGTATCCATTGTTTCTGTTTCTGAAATTGATCTTTTCCCGCTATTAATGAGAAGTTGGAGTTCATTATTTGTTCTCCATTTCCAATTCAAATAACTCGCTAAGAGATTAGCTCACTTCTGCTGCAAGAAATCTGTCACCATTGCTGTAATTTGGTTCAATACCATAACAGTGGTATCAGAGCAGCTACGATCCGTCTGGGTTTGGCTGCTTGATTAAAAATCTTTCCTCCTAATTTTTTTCCTTCACTTCTGATTCACTTTCTTCCCTATCCATCTTCATCTCTTTTCCGACCAACCAAAATATATATATATATATATGGAGACCCTTGAAGAAATCTCTAAAATGCTGAATTACTTCCTGGTGGAGCATAAGAAGCCTAAACAAACAACTAACGTAGCAGAGTACTATGAGGAATTTGAAGAGTGGAGAAACGAGATGTTGGCTTTGAAACCAGAACTCAGTGAAGAATACTTTATTGATGGTTTTAACTTTGGGCTTCATTGGAATATCCGGATGAAGCTAAAGGGATTTAGGAATCCACCCAAGATCATGTATGAAGCATATGTCCGAGCAAAAATCGAGGAAGCCGTGATGGAGAAGCATGATTCTGCTCTTGATTTACCAAAAGGAGAGCAGCTTATGAGAGAAAATGAGGTTATGGAGGCTGAACACAATGATATAATCACTAACTTGAAGGATGAAAGTGCAGTCAGCCACATGTTTGATGAATTGTGCCAAAGGACTCCAATGGATTTTTTAGAGGAGAACCAACATAAAACATCAGCAAGGGACTATCAAGAAGAAAAAGCTATAAACCAAGTGTTTGATAGATTGGCTCACAACGATTGTGTTATCTCTCAAGGGCTTAGCTATGAATTGCTTATAGGGGAGCTAGCTTGGCAACAAGGCTCTATAGACAAGGAAATATTTAACTCTGCTTCACCGCTCCATTGTCCCAGAAATTGGTCTTCGGTCAGCTGCAAGGATGGTGCTGTCAATATTGTTCCTTCGCAACCAAATAGACCACTTGATGACTTGATATTTGATCCTGGGGGCAGTACTAAAATAGCAATGAACAAAGATGCAGAGGGTGAAGGGGGAAATGAGATGCAAAATCAAGAGAAAGAGAATGATGGAAATAAAAATAATGGTGAAGAGGAGGAAACTAGAGAAGACGACCGGGGAAAGCATGGTGAAGAGCAAAGTGGTGAGGAGACAGGAGAAAATAAAGAAAATGGTGGCGCAGAAAAAGAGAATGAAACGAAGGAGGAGAACAATGAGAATGCTAATGAAGACACACAAGAAAATGGAGCTGAGCAGAAAGGTAATGAGGAAAAGGATGTAGAAGAAGAGAATGGGGAAAATGAAGAGACCAGGGAAAATAAGAATGACCTGGATGGAGGTGAAGAGCATGAGGTGAAGGAGCAGGTTAACGATGAGAGCAAGGCAACAGAAAAGGAAGAGAAGAAACAATTAGGCAATGAAGATCAAGGTAGAGAGAAACAGGAAGACCATGAAGTGAAGGAACCAAAAGAAGGTAAATCTGAGGAATCACCAGATGAGAAGGTTCATCAAGCAAATGAGCAGACAAACGAAGCTGCTGCACGGGAAAACACCAATGGTGGGAATGCCCAGAGTGAAGAGGTTCAGGATGCTCAAGGTATGAAAGACACTGAGAAAGTAAATAAGGAAAACGTAAATGGGGAAGAACAGTCGACTGAGAAGGTCCAGGACAAGTCTGAAGGCAACAGTGAATATGTGACAGAGGCAAATAAGATACACGATAATGAATCAGGTTCAAATGCAAAAGAAGGTGAGTCAAATGAACAGAATAGTCCATCAACTGTTGCGACTGATGAAGGCAATGACAGTGAAAACACACAGCAGGGATCAGGTCACGATTCCAATCCTGCAGAAGGAACACATGAAGCTAATCAAGAACAAGGCAACGGCAATGAGACCACACAGCAGGAATCAAGGGAATCTTCCAATCCCACAGAAGGAACAAAGGAAGCTAATCAACAGCAGAGCATTAGCGACAATTCTAAGGCTGATGCTGATCAAAACCAGAGAAATGCTATTGGTGATGTCCTTCCTGGGGGAGATGGTGCGCAGTCTACTCAAGAGGAGCAAACCGAGAACAAGGATGCTGCAACAAACAATGACAAATCCGATACAAGTTCAAATATGAAGGAGGGCTCAGCATATGGAGAAGGTTCAAATGATGTGGGCAATAGACAAAATGCTGGTAGCGATACTGTTGGGGGTACAGAGAAAAGTTCAGAAAATTCATCAGCCAATCAGGTTAATGAAAAGGTTGAGATCCAGAAGTCTGATGCTCATTCTGAAACAGGACCGGAAGAAAAGATTAACCCTTCAAATGACAATGGCTGATTCATTGGTGGGGAACAGATCCAGCAGAGGCAACATGGGAATTTGCAGAAGAAATTAGGAAACAGTTCCCTCAATTCCAATCTTGAGGACAAGATTTTCTTTTAGGGGAAGGCTCTGTCATGGAGTGAAGAAGGCGTGTCCAAGATTACAAAGAAGGCGCGGTCAATCAGCCTGAAGAAGACAAAGGCGTGGTTTCGAAACCACGCCTTTCCTCTGGTTTAACAGAATTATACTTCTGTTATGCGCAAGTGGAGCTGATAATTCTAGAACTCCACGTGTCATAACCTTATTAGTCTGTTTAGAAGTTAGTTAGTCCAGAATTGTCCATAAAAGCATGAAGGAATCCGGATGATAGGAGATTTTGTCATAATTCTCCAAGTGATTGTAAAGGTGATTTGGCTTTGCCAAATTCCCTCCATTTTCTCTTTTTCCTTCATTCTTTCCCCTTCATTCTGTATCCATTGTTTCTGTTTCTGAAATTGATCTTTTCCCGCTATTAATGAGAAGTTGGAGTTCATTATTTGTTCTCCATTTCCAATTCAAATAACTCGCTAAGAGATTAGCTCACTTCTGCTGCAAGAAATCTGTCACCATTGCTGTAATTAGGTTCAATACCATAACATGTTTTTTCTCTTTTGCTGCATGCTTGCGGAACCCTAATTCTCTCTGATACAGTTCCTCTTTGGTCTTTTTACCTTATAGGTTCGACAATCCGTGGTTTTTAGCTGATTTTTTTTTTGCGATTTTTTGTGTGGATATGTCGTCTGAAATTGTGCTTTTTTTTTCCGCACTTTCTGTTTGTTTTCTTTTTTTTAGGCTACCTGTTTGCTTCGTAGGTGCTTGTTTTAGGGTTTGCTGCAAATCGGTTGGTTCTGGGGTGTAGCTTTTAGCTTTTCTCTTAAGATCTTCAAGTCCGTGGGTGTTTATTGTAACTACTATCTTTTCTCTTTGGATCTTCGATTCCTTGAATGGTTATTGCGACTCGTAGCCATTTTTGTTCTTTGGGGTTGAGATCTTCTCTTGTTGTTCCTTTCGGTAGGAATAGTTCTTCTTCGTCCACTGGATTTCGAGTATAAAAAATTGTTTTGTTTCCTCCTCCCCCTCTGTAGATTGTAGCTTGTAGCTTTTTCCTTGGGATCTTTTGGGAAAAATGACCATTTTCGTCCCTAAATTTTTTTTGCTCGTCAATTTAGTTCATAACTTTTATTTTTTATCAATTTAATACAAGAATTTAATTTTCGGATCCAATTAAGTCCTTCTAAAATTCATTTAGCTCCTAATTTAGCATTAAACAAGGGTATTTTGGGAAGCTTCTGCCACCAACCACCCGCCTCATCCTTCATGATCGGGGGATTTTGGATATTCCAGCAACACCAATAATCCACCGGCGGAGGGATTACTTTGGCTCCGCGGCCTAAAATTTGAAAGATTGGAGAAGAAGCCAATGTTTCCCAGCAAGAACAGAGCAATAACAACCACGCATGTCAAAATTATTCACATCCACTGCTGCATTTTTCTTTTACCTCCTAAGTGGCGGAGGGATAGATTTTGTCTTGCTTTGCTTCACCACAACTGATGGTTTTTGAGATCTTTTGGTAACGGTAGGAAAACAGTACTTAACCTCAGATTCCTTTATTGTTCCAGGTACGATTTCAGATTTTGGAGTGCATTCCCCAATATCGTTTCCATCGGGAACTTCTGCTCCACCGGCCTTCTTTCTCTCCTTCTTCCTCAACCTCTTCTCCCTTTCCTAGAGAAATCAAACGGACGTCATTGATGGAAAGCCAAGTGAAGAAAAGCACACTTACTCAGGCACATGAATTGGAAATTCAAAATTTCTTACCTTGTCTCTCAGCTCGGCTTCTTTCTGTGCTCGTAATTCAGCCCTCATTTGCGCTTTCTCTACGATCCTCTTTTTCCTCTCCAGTGCCTCCAGAGCCTTAGCTTTCTCCTCTAGTCGCCGTTGCTCCCTCAACTTGGCTGCTGCCTTTGCCTTCGTTAACTCTTCAGCCTTCCTTGAGATGCTCTGATTTTGTCTTATTGTGTCAGTGAGTCTGGAAGAGGGAATTCCTATTTCTACTCTAAACATGCATGCCTAAGGTGGCTAGGCTTCTCTTTCAAACATGGGATTCCACTCTTGGAGACTTGAGGCTTTTGTGATTTTTATCGCCATGGAAGAACTTTGGTACTATAGTTGTTATGGTCGACAATTTGTAGAATGGGTGGGGCCCGCATTTTTCATTGTTTGGGCTTTTGAATAATTGGGTTGGTGAAATTATGGGTTCGATGCAAATTTCGCAGGTGGAAGGTTGGTTTTCTTGGGATAGTTGAGGCGGTGGTTGTGGCTGTGGTAGTGGTGAGAGGGGCAGCTGCTGGGGTGGCAGTGGTGGTGGTGGTTCATCTTCGTTGGTGGGGTCTTGAGATTGCAGGGGCCTCGCTGGGGTTGCCAAATTGCCAAAGTGTGGATTACTGGTGTTGCTGGCATTCCAAAATCGCCGATCATGAAGGAGGAGGCGGGTGGTTGGTGGCGGAGGCTGGCAGTGGAGAGGAGATAATTCAAAGTTCTCAAAATGCCCTTGTTTAATGTTAAATTAGGAGCTAAATTACTTTTAGTGTGGCGCCGCCGTAGAAGGACTTAATTGGATCCAAAAATTAAATTCACGTATTAAATTGGCTAAAAATAAAAGTTAGGGACTAAATTGACGGACAAAAAAAGTTTAGGAACGAAAATGGCCATTTTCCCGGATCTTTTGAGGTCAATTCCTTAGATTTTTATTTTAATAAATTTTTGTTGCTTTCCTGACTCCCAAGAAAATTGAACTGCGCTTATTATGAATTTCTTTGGTGATGTGTACAGGACTTGCTGAATGGGGGTTTTCTTGAACTTCCGTGAGTTGCAACTTACAATTTCCCCGTGTTGTGTTTTTCGGTTTTTCTTTGTTGTGATTTTTGGATTCATTTTTTAGTACTTCCTACTATTAACTCCTCGTATGATTGTTTGGATTCTTTTGGCAGTTAATTCTATTGGGCCTGCGGGTTCAATTTTGCTGGGTATGCAATTTGGCTACTGCTTTCACCTCCTCCTCAGTGGGAATTATTACAATAGAAAAGAGTAAAAATCTGGCTATATTGCCAAAATTTATTCTCTTACACTCTGATATGATCTGTCTGGAGTTCATCTTTACTGATTTGATGTTTGATGATTTTCTCCAGTTCGGACAAGTCCAAGATTGGGCATGACAACCTTCTGGCTGCTGGTCCTCGCAGAAGGCTGTAGAAAATTACTAGTGGATCTTGCCATGCACCAGAATGAATGGGTGAATGAACTGGATTAGTATATTATCGTATTGTTAACTCTAAACGATGCTAGTTTTAGTGGCTGCTTGTATAATTAACCTCTTAGCTAATATTGGATTTTAATGCTGTGGTGAGAATTTACTCTGTGGCAAGAATTGTTCTGGTGAGACTTTTTTGTGGCATTGAAGCTCCCTTTTGGCGTCATTTACCAGAGTCCGCTTAGAATCACAGAGCTGCTTATTCCATTCTCTTTATTTCCAGACCTTCTGGGGTCGTATTCTCTTGGCTTCGTTGCAATTTGCAGATGGCAATTTTGGCCGAGTGAAAGATGCAAAATAAAATAGACCAGTCAACCAGCCCTAAGAGCAGATCAAACTGGAGCCGTCTACTGGAATGAGGATTCTTTTCAATTTATCTTTTTTGGCTTTACCGTGCCGTGCTCAGAATATTATGTCACGTAAAAGTTGTCATTAGACTCTAAATTGGTATCTAATAAAACATTTTCTTACGATAACTTGTACCTAAGGATTTGGTTGGTATCTTTTGTTAGGCAAAGATTTTGTTGTTTATGTCAAAAAACTCAAAAGGAAATCATGATATATTGCATATCCAAGGAGGATACATAAGGCGAAATTATCATCTTTATGCTTGGACCAAGAAGTAAGGCCATTTATTTGACTTGTGTTCTTTTTACTCTGCTAAATGTTCACAACCTAACCGTTTTAGCTAATTTATTGATTAGTTACTTGAGGAGACTCTAAATGTTAGGGGACTCCAAATTCAGCCCTCTGAGAAATCCCAATCAGTCAAGTCCACATAAGGTAAACTCGAGTTCCCCAACACTATGGTCCATTGAACAATTGAGAGTCGACTTGGGTTGTCCCGCTTTTGACAGCCTTTTAATAGTTTTTGATTCAATCATTACAGCCCCAAATGATACCACCGGACAATTTCAAAAACTTTTAAACTTGAATTCATATTATGCGATATAATTTAAATTTATTCGTATACAAAAAAAAAAATTATACATTAATAGTATATATTAAAAAATTTATCCTATATATACATGGGCATATACCTATATGTATGTATATTACTTCTCATACTCATCCATCGTGGTACTCTGTCAAATATAAGAGCCCGTTGCCTATAAAATCAAGTCTGAGCTCCAGAATTTGGCAATTTTGAGCTTGAACTTTGAAGACGAAGAAATTAAGGTTTTCAAAAATAGTTTTACAATAACTCGACACAAAATTGTGGAAGCTTACCTCATTACCGATTCCTTTCGTATTATAAAACCATGTAGCCGATAAGTAGCAATATTCTTGGTACAAAAAGATTAAATTAACGCCTTCTACTAAAACAGAATTTTTAAGTCATTTTCTTCGAGCCATGGCTATAGAATGGCACACTTTGCTCATGTGGAATTGGCCCTAAAGCCCATGTCCAACATGGACGGAGTCTAGACCTTAATCTTTTAGTACAGATCGTGAGACTAGGCCTAAAAGTACGAATGTTGAATGGGCTAAGTTGGGGTTTACCAAAGCCCGATTCAGCAAGTCTAACAATTCGAATTTATCAAATCTGGTGTCTCTCTATAGGCTAACAAAAATATATGTCCGAATTTAGAATCTTTATTCAACCGGAAAAAGTTTATCAACTAAAAATGATCACTGTATAAAAAGTTGATCCTTGTACTTTATAAATGATCACTATGTAAAAAGTTAATCCTCGTACTCTATAGTTTATAGCGAATAGCCTATCATGAAACTAGAACGTAAGACACAAAGCCTACTCCTAAGACTTTTTATTGCTTATAGTCTTCAAGAACAATTACAAATATTATCAATCAATTTCTTTCCATTATTCAATTCTTGAATTGCTTTTAGACTTGTTCAAATTTTGTGCATTTGGCATAAAGGCTTTTGCTGAGGACAACTAGCGTAAAATTGTGGAGCATTATAAGAATAAAAAATTGGATTTTCTAGAAAATAAGATGATTCTTGTGAAGTGTTAAATTTGTTGGTTGTTCCAACTACAAAAAACACATATGACAGCCGACATATGATGACATTTATTGGATAGAGTAGTCAAAGTTAAATTGCACCTGTAGGATTAATTATTGGATAGAGAATGACAATAATTTTGCAGCAGCTCTTCTTTGGATTCGAATTTATCAGGTAAATTGAAGCCTCTTGCTGTTTGGAACCAAGTAGATTCAGCATTTTCGTGCTTCTTTCTGAAGCGGTTTTCAAGATTGATTCATCTCGCCTTGAGGTGATCACATTTGTTACACAATGGCAATCCCTTTGGAAGCTTATCCTGTCTAAACTGGCAGGCATAACTGACAAGAATTTGGATGTGTCTGCCTAGAATTTGGTTAAGATGCCAACCAAAGCATTCTTCCTCTGAACTTGTGAATAGTGTGCCTTCTCCCTGAAGCATTTCCCCATCCAACAAAACAGTTTATTCTTTCTGATTTCTCTGTAGCTTTACTCGAGCCTTCAGGACATGGGGATCATCACTGTGTCTTCGAGCTGGCAATTTGTTCCAAGTCCCAATGGGCTACCCATGCCCAAAGGAACTTTGGGCGGGATGGGTATTATAATTTGGTATTGGGTTTAAGTTGGGACACATCCCAACTATACCCATTAATGAATGGGAAAGGATGGGAAATACTTGGGTACCCATTGGGCTCAAATGGCAAGGGCTCCGTTTGGATTAGCTGTTTTTGGTAGGTGTTTTTGAAATATTTTATTGTAGCAGTGTATATGAAAAATTTTTACTATAAAATTTTTTTGAAATATTTGATATATTAATATGGATGGGATGTTTCTTGAGTTATTGTATATTACTGTAACATTGTATTTGAAAAACTTATTTTTTGAAAAAAAAGTCAATCCAAACGGAATCTTAGATTCAAAAATTATCTTTAACAATTTTTATAGTCATACCAGCGAATATAATCTAGTAGTCTTCCTAGTCATTATCCACAAGAATTTCCAGCATTTCAGTTAGTTTAGACCTGTCATCCTTGGACAATGATAAGGATAAATATTCAACATCCTAAGGACCTTGGCCATCTTGATATATGTTGGAATATGGCTGTATATCTATCTTTTCCTTTATTTGTTAATCCAATTTTTGGTGGGAATCTTGAGTATAAAGCACTTGCATGTTTATTTAATAAAACTAAAAGAAATTTAATAAATCAAAAATATTAAAATTATATAAAAATAAAAAATGAATTAAAGGAAAAAAAATATGTAGAAAATGGATTTGGGTATTGGGCGGGATCAATCTAAACCCATCCCAAAATGATCCCGCCCAAGTTAGTCCCAAAACACATATGGGTAAGGTTGGGCCCAAACCCATATGACTCGGTTCCATCTCAAACCCAAGCAAATCCCGCCCATCCCGCCCATTTTGCCACCTCTACTGTGTCTGATGAATATACTTCTGTAATCCCCCGTGCAAGAATATTCAAGTCCTTGATTCTTGATGCAGACAATTTGGTGCCTAAACTCCTGCCACAGATCACTAAGAGCATTGACATTGTTGAAGGTGATGGAGGGGAAGGAACCATCAAGCAAATGAACTTTGCTGAAGGTAGACTCTTAGCCTACATGAAACTTGATTTCCCTTTGGGTTTTTCTTTTCTTTTTTTTTAATATCTCATTTTCAATTTCAAGAGATTGCAAATGCTTTACGCATTGGTATTGGAGACCTTTTAACATATGATCCATGACATGTAACCAGGAACTCATTTCAAATCCATAAAGCATAGAATTGACGTGATCGATGTGGAGAATTGCACATACAATTACACTTCGATTGAAGGTGATGCCTTGGGAGGCAAACTTGAGAAAATCTCGTATGAAGCTAAGTTCGAGGCTTCACAAGAAGGATGGACCATTTTCCAAAATGACCAGCAAATACTACGTCTTGGATGATGCTGCAGTTACCGAAGAGGAAATCAAGGCTGGTAAAGAAAAGGCCATTGGAATCGACAAAGCAGTTGAAGCCTATCTCCTCCAAAACCCTGATGCCTATGTTTAATTCTATGTTTCTTCAAAGTCTGAGACAAAAATCTCTGAATTTATGATCTTTATGTCCTGTCATCTGCTCCCTCTTGCTTTGAAGAATAACCGTGTCAGCTAGTCCTCAGAAATTATGGAGTGTGATTTTTCAACCTTCCTGTAATTCACTCATAGTTTTTCTAGCATGCAACTCTTTCGCCTTTGTTACCTCCAATGATCTTTGAATGCATATCCAGTTGATTAACCAACTTTGAATCATGTGGTATCAAGAATATTTGAAACTCAAAAGTGAATTAACATATCTAAGATGGAACTGATACTAGTGTTATAACTTCCTGTAACATGAGTACGTAAGTTAAGTTCAGTGTAGTTAAGTTTCTTGGATATAACTTGGCACACAATTATGTACAAGAAAATGGAATTTTTATTTCTGCAAAGAAGAAAAAACTATAACTATACTATTTATCTGGTATATATCTCCGCAACAAAGAGCAACAATTTCCAACAAAAATTAAGTGCAAAATCTATTCAAGTATAGGCACGAGGGTGTGCCAAAAGATAGGCTTCCACAACCTCATACATCCCAATAGCTCTGTCCTTACCAAGCTCAATTTCTTCCTCTTTGATCTCCACATTTTCTTTGGTCTTGTACTCGGATGTTATCTTACAAATGCAGCCTGTATAGCCGTAGGGTTCAAATTTAACTTCGTAAGAGATCCAATCCAATTTGTCCATCAAAGCATCCCCTTCAATCAGAGTGAATTTAACCATGTAATGCTCCTTATCCAGAGCATCAACTCTGTGCTTCACATATGTGTAGGGGCTAGCTGCATCACAGAATTTTCAACAAGAAGAAAAATACATGATTACGTGTTTCTGTAGGATTTTGCACCAAACCAAGTTGAAATTTAAGACGATACCACTTATTTGACTAACCTTCTGTGAAATTCATTTGCTTGATGCTCCCAGCTTCACCATCTCCTTGCAGATATTCAATGCTTTTGATTGATGAAAACATGAGCTTCGGGCAAAGATTATGGGAATCCATGATCAGGGCTTTGAACATCCGATCTGGGGTAACTTGAGTCTTGAAAGACTGAGATACCTTGATGATTCCCATGTCTGCTTTCTTTTTTAACGGAATGTGCAAGCTGGAAAGAATTAGTTAGAGGTTAAGAATTATAAGAGTAGCATAAAAATTGGGTAGAGGCTGGAGACCTTTATATGCATCAAGTGGGAAAGCTCTAAGAGAAGACTTCAGGCCTCCTTTTTCCTATTTTTCTCTATAATATGGTGTGTTTGGATGGAAAGAAAATAATGGAAAAGAAAGGATGTGGTGAGAAAAAAAAAATTTAGGAATCATTTGTTTGAAAAAGGAAAATAAAGCAAAGGAAATGGACTTTAAAGACCCATCAAAAAAAATTTTTTTTTTTCCAACTAGAAGTGGGATAAAATGAAAAGAAAAAAAAGGAACACTCATACAATCACTTGTGAATTACAATAATAATGTTTGTCGTGAACACATAATTCAAAATGACATGACAAGAAGCATGGCCACTTTAGTAAAATACTAACTGAAACACACTACTATGTATATTACTAGTTTCCTTCCAAATCTCCTAAACATGTGTGTACATCTCATCTTTTCATTTCTATCCTACACTCCCAAACCAGCCGTTGGTATACAGATTACAAAACGAAAAAAGAAAAACAGTTTTATCCTTAAATAAATAAATCATGACCGATCCTCCATTTAAAGTTTATACTTCAAAGTCAGCTCATCCATTTGGTAGGTAGCTCACCTTTTCAACTCGGGAGGGAGAGTTCTACGGAGGGAGACACTTTGGTCACCCGGCGAGGCATGAAAATTCCATGCCATGACTCAATCCTACTTCACTTATATTATATGGTCTAAAATAAAGTAGAAGTTAGCTGATTTGATTTGGACACAAACTCGGTAGAAATTTTATCGACAGAGAACGGTCGAACTAAGGAGCCTAATCCTGTAATATGAAAATGTGCATCTGGAACTACGGAGACGTGTTTGATAGACAAAATTTTACTAAAAAAATATCTGTATAGGCAATCTTGTAGTAGCACAGAAATGATAAATCAGTAGTTAGTTTGAAAGTCATTTTCAAACTCAAACACGTGTACATACAAATAAATGGAGCATTAACTGAGATTGAATTTCCCAGTGACTTTTAACGAAAGTGTTTACTTTTCCAACTTCAGGTTCTAATCCTTTTTTTTTTTTTTTTTTTTTTGGGGTTTAGGGGTGTGTGTTATATTTTTTAAGTAACAGAAGAGAAAAGACTCTCTACTCTAGAAGGAAAACTGGACTCCACGGAAAGTTCTCTCGGCCCAGCACGCTGAAATGGGTCAGTGGAACTCTGGGTTGAGTGGATCCATCGACTTTTCCGCCTTCGTTCATTGTGAATAAGCAGAATGAGCTGGTGTACACTTCATCTCTTGCTAAAGTCTAGTGAGAAAAACCACAAAAAAAAAAATTAAGAACCGTGAAATTTAGAAATTTTTGGTTCTAAGAATTTTACTCTCGTTTTTATTGCATCATTTACAAATTAATTGTAATGTGTATGTATGACTTGATGGTAATCTAATATTTAAAAAAAATTTAATCGATGTTGATCGTGTCATTAACTGTTTCTAATTGTATAAAAGTTATTTTAAAAATCTAGAATAAAAAAGCACCCAAAAAAATCATTTTTAATCTTTTTTTAGGGTGAACAAATAAGTAGCAAGTTTGCATAGAAAAGCTGTGTTGTTTGTACAGCTGGGCTATTGCACTAGCACGGATCTGCTCAGCTTCCTATCAAAATGATAAAATCCCCTTTAGACCAAACGATTTTATCTATTAAATAAATACAACCCAAGGCAACTTTTCACCAAAACTTCATCTTTTTATAACCTTCTTCAAACACATAAAAAATGATGCCAGTTCTTCCTCATTTTGGTGGCATGAAAGTTCTTCTTCATTTTGGTGGCATGGCTCAAAAGGTTGTTGGGATAGTTAAAAAGTTCGAAAAGGAGGTGGTTTCTAGTCCTAATGCGATAGGGTTCTGTGCTAGCAATACCCTTTCTATTTTGATAGTTGTGAAACAAATGGAACAAGCAAGGAATGCTGATAAGCAGAATGAGTTAAACCATGATGAAAGATATAGAGAGGTGAAGATGACTGTCAGAGAGAGTGAAAGAAAGGTTATATTGGCAGTAAAAAAAGAAGCTGCTCAGCCCACCAAAAATTTGAAGGAGTTGATGAAAATCCATGACAAACAATATTCATCTTCTTGGTTTTGGACCGACAAAAAGGTCAACCTTCTCTAAGCGAAGCTAGAAAGTTTTCAGAAGGAGGCTAATGTGAAGGAGAAGATGTACCTGGATGCCAATGAGGCAAAAAAAAAATGTTGGGTTGATGAGTATTCGGATTTTTGGATCTTATACCTAAGTCAGCTTTCAAATGACTTAGATTAAAGACTAACATGTGTGTTTTTCTAAGAATGAGCAGGTGTAAACTTCACCTCATGCTAAAGTCCAGTGAGAAAAATCACAAAAAAAAAAAAAAAATTTAAAGAATTGTAAAATTTAGAAATTTTTGGTTCTAAGAATTTTACTCTAGTTTTTATTGCATCATTTACAAATTAATTGTAATGTGTATGTATGACTTGATGGTAATGTAATATTTTAAAGAAATTTAATCGATGTTGATCGCGTCCTTAATTGGTTTTAATTGTGTAAAAGTTAATTTTAAAAAACCAGAATAAAAAAGCACCCAAAAAAAAATCTTATTTTTAATCTTTTTTTAGGGTGAACAAATTAAGTAGTAAGTTTGTAAAGAAAAGCTGTGTTGTTTGTACAGTTGGGCTGTTGCACTAGCACGGATCAGCTCAGCTTTCTATCAAAATAACAAAATCACCCTTAGACCAGACTATTCTATCTATTAAATAAATACCGCCCAAGGCAACTTTTCTCCAAAACTTCATCTTTTTATAACATTCTTCAAACACATAAAAAACGATGCCAGTTCTTCCTCATTTTGGTGGCATAAAGGTTCTTCCTCATTTTGGTGGCATGGCTCAAAAGGTTGTTGGGATAGCGAAAAAGTTTGGAAAAGGAGGTGGTTTCTAGTCCTAATGCGATTGGATTCTGTGTTAGCAATACCACTTCTATTTTGATAGCTGTGAAACAAATGGAACAAGCATGGAATGTTGATGAGCAGAATGAGTTAAACCATGATTAAAAATGTAGAAATGTGAAGAAGACTGTCAGAAAGAGTGAAAGAAAGGTTATACTGGCAATCAAAAAAGAGGCTGCTCAGCCCACCAAAAATTTGAAAGAGTTGATGAAAACCCATGACAAACAAAACTCATCTTCTTGGTTTTAGAACGACAAAAAGGTCAACCTTCTCCAAGCGAAGCTAGAAAGTTTTCAGAAGGAGGCTGAGGTGAAGGATAAGATGTACCTGGATGCCATTAAGGTAAAAAAAAATGTTGGGTTGATGAGTTTTCGGATTTTTGGATCTTATACCTAAGTCAGTTTTTGAATGACTTAGATTCAAGACTAACACGTGTATTTTTCTAAGAATGAGCTGCTGCAAACTTCTCTTCATGCTAAAGTCCAGTGAGAAAAATCACAAAAAAAAAATTTAAGAACCGTGAAATTTAGAAATTTTTGGTTCTAAGAATTTTACTCTAGTTTTTGTTGCATCATTTACAAATTAATTGTAATGTGTATGTATGACTTGATGGTAATCTAATATTTTAAAAAAATTTAATCGATGTTGATCATGTCCTTAACTGCTTCTAATTGTGTAAATGTTAATTCAAAAAATAAGAATAAAAAAGCACCCAAAAAAATGTTATTTTTAATCTTTTTTTAGGGTGAACAAATTAAGTAGAAAGTTTGTACAGAAAAACTGTGTTGTTTGTACAGTTAGGCTTTTGCACTAGCACGGATCAACTCAGTTTCCTATCAAAATGACAAAATTCCCTTTAGACCAAACTATTCTATCTATTAAATAAATACAATCTAAGGCAACTTTTCACCAAAATTTCATCTTTTTATAACATTCTTCAAACACATAAAAAACGATGCTAGTTCTTCCTCATTTTGGTGGCATGTCTTAAAAAGTTGTTGGAATAGCTAAAAAGTTTGGAAAGGAGGCGGTTTCTAGTCCTAATGTGATAGGGTTCTGTGCTAGCAATATCCTTTCTATTTTGATAGCTGTGAAACAAATGGAACAAGCAAGGAATGCTGATGAGCAGAATGAGTTAAATCATGATGAAAGATGTAGAGAGGTGAACAAGACTGTCAGAGAAAGTGAAAGAAATGTTATACTGGCATTCAAAAAAGAGACTGCTCAGCCCACCAAAAATTTGAAGGAGTTGATGAAAACTCATGACAAACAATACTCATCTTCTTGGTTTTGGACCAACAAAAGGGTAAACCTTCTCCAAACGAAACTAGAAAGTTTTCCGAAGGAGGCTGAGATGAAGAAGAAGATGTACCTAGATGCCATTGAGGTAAAAAAAAATATTGGGTTGACGAGTTTTCAGACTTTTGGAACTTATACCTAAGTCAGCTTTTGAATGACGTAGATTCAAGACTAACACGTGTGTTTTTCTAAGAATGAGCTGGCGTAAACTTCACTTCATGCTAAAGTCAAGTGATAAAAACAAGCAAAAAAAATTTAAGATCCGTGAAATTTAGAAATTTTTAGTTCAAAGAATTTTACTCTAGTTTTTATTGCATCATTTACAAATTAATTGTAATGTGTATGTATGACTTGATGGTAATCTAATATTTTAAAAAAATTTAATCGATATTAATCGTTTCCTTAACTGCTTCTAATTGTGTAAAGGTTAATTTTAAAAACCAGAATAAAAAAGCACCCAAAAAAATCTTACTTTAAATCTTTTTCTAGGGTCAACAAATTAAGTAGCAAGTTTGTACAAAAAAGCTGTGTTGTTTGTACAACTGGGTTGTTGTACTAGGACGGATCAGCTCAGTTTACTATAAAAATGACAAAATCTCCCTTAGACCAAACTATTCTATCTATTAAATAAATACAACCTGAGGCAACTTTTTACCAAAATTTCATCTTTTTATAACCTTTTTCAAACACATAAAAAATGATGCCAGTTCTTCCTCATTTTGGTGGTATGGCTCAAAACGTTGTTGAGATAGTTAAAAAGTTTGGGAAGAAGGTGGTTTCTAGTTCTAATGCGATAGGGTTC